ATATTAATTTATAGCGAGAACACAAGGCAACAAAAGAAATTCTAAAGCAAGGTATTATACAGCGGCAGCTGTAGACAGTCGCCAGATTGAGTGACTTACCCGCATAACGTCATTTTGAATATACGTGGCTCTTGTCTTGCAGTATTGTGTAGTTCTTTATTTGGATGCTTGTAAGGATACATGATTCCACCAAAACGGCGCCGCCCTAGGGAGACCGAGTCGGCTGAAATCTCAATGCTCGTCGAGCTGCCGATGCTTGACATTTTCAAGTGCGTCTGCCTTCGATGCCCTGTCTTTGTGAAGCGTGATCCATTCGTCTTACGCAGATTGTTTCAGAGTGATCGTCAAAACTTTCCGAGTAATGTGGTATTACTACCGGCCAGAGAGAGATAATAAAATGAGGAAAAGGCAGGGAGGTTAACCGGTAATTGGAGCATCCGGTTTGTTACCCTGCACTAAGGGAAGGGAGAATGGGGAATAATGATGGGAAAGAAAGCGAAGAGAATTAAACGCGCGTAAGAGAAAAGAAAAAAAGTGAGCTAGGGTGCTATAGCTTATTCAATAGGCCACTACCACGCAAGAAGTTCAATAAGGCCTTCGCTGATTTTCCGTGCGAAGACAGACTGCTCACTTTGGGTGGCGGCGTCGAATCCCGGCATTTCCGATGGAGGCGCAAATCCTTGAGGCTCGTGCGCTTAAATATAGGTGCATGTTAAAAAACCCCAGGTGGTCGAAATTTCCGACTCCCTTCACTGCGGCGTCTCTCATAACCATATCGCGGTTTTGTGATGTTAAAACCCAACAATTATTATTAAAGTGCTGTTATTCCCAGCTCTGGACCGACAAGACTCAGCGAGCTGGCACGCAGGGTGGCAGCTGCGTTTCGTTGATAACCTCCGCGTTCAGAAACGCATTTCAGCTTGAGGCCACGACTTGACGTGGCCGAGTCTATATAAGGTGACGCCTCTCGTGAACAAATCCAACACGCTAACAGCCTTTCCTTCGGCGCATCTCCGAAAGACGTTAAGTAGACGTCAGTGGTTCTAGTGAGGTAATATGGCTGATATAAAGTGGAATTTCAGAGTGCGGCATTAGGAACGTTCCCATGGCGCAGAATCTTTTGCAATATTTTGCAACACGGCTTAGATTGCAATGACGCCATAGAAGCAGACAAAAGACACAGTCTGTAAAATTCCATTTTGGCCTGTCGTTTTTGCGCTGGTGTATGCTTGATATTCTTCATCGGTTCAATTGGTACTACATTGGGCCTTATGTGTTTCGCAAATAGCAAAAAAAAAGTGGGGGGGGGGGGGCAATGTGACAGTTGTTTCTTTTTCAGTGTCTTTTATTTTTTTCAGCTAGTGGTGCTCTTTTCGGCCAGTATTCCGCACATTTGCTCACATAGGTGCGCGGGAATACATTAAATACGGCAAAAGCTATCGTGGTGGCTCTGTTTCAAGCGAACACCCAAGTTATAAGATTATTGCATCCACCGAGTATACATACAGCATCACTTCAGAAAACCTCTCCCCATTTCGTTTTTTTTTTAATTTCGCACGCCGCACCACTTCCCTGAATAGTGGCCCCATTAGAGAGAAACCGTCGCGATCTTCCCCGCGACAAACGTTTTAAAAGTGTATGTACCGTTCCCGCTCTAGTTCACAGTTAACGATGTTTCTCTTCCTCATCCTGTATTTTACTGCTGATACAAACGGAATTTACGCATCGGAAAAAAAAATTATCTCGAGACTCAGTTCTATGGTCGCAAAATAACTAGCTATTTAGCTTCAAAAAAAAAATCCTTTTATTCTTCAGAAGGAGTGTAGAGTGCGCTGGATTCCGGAAAAGGGGATTGAGGTGAAAAAAAAAAAGGCTTCGTGACTTTGTATTATGCCTCTCGTTAATGCGAGAACAAATAGTTCTCTTTTTCGAGTTTATAAGGCGTATTGCATTGCATGTGCATTATCTTTGGCTCTCGGCCTCCAGTCGTTGCTCTATCAGTGCAGCCTCTGCTCTGTGTAGCATCGTACCTCGTACCGGTACATTTCCCAAGTCGATCTAGGAGACACCCTGGGCGACCATAGCGTCCCCCCTTCGACTCTGTAGACGGCCGCCTCTCCACATTTCGTCGCGCTCGGAGTCCTAAACGAGGGGCGGGGGTTAAGTCGCCGCCTATTGTTCCGCACCTTTTCCGCCCGCTGCCCGTAACGAGCTTTTAACGATGCCCCCCATCGTATTTTCTCATTCACGTGGAGAAGGGCGCGCCTCGCGTACACGGCCGGCGAGGAGCCCATTACACCCAGTCTCCGCGCTGCCATCTCGAGCACCGTGTTTCTCGGTGCGCATCGCTGCTGCCGATGACTGCGCGCGCACTTTTTGACTCTTCTCACGCGTGTACTTCTCGTGTAGCTTTCTTTTGTTTTGTACAATCGTAGCCGGAGCCTATTCTTCTCCCCGTCATCTGCAGTGTCTTGCTTCACATTTCAGCTCCCGTTGGTTACGTTTCGCGATTATCGTAACGGTACCTTCGGTGAAATCCTTCTAGCACTTCAGTGCCGTGTGTTTGTGTCTGTGCTCGCGCATTCGCTTTCACTTTATTTTTTTTTCTTGTCTTCGTGTTGGCAGAAAGTCAAAATGGTTATTGTAACGTTATTTTGTATAACAGTGGCTTCTTATAGACCGGGGCGTATATGTGGTGTGGACGGAATGTAAGAGGAACATTGCTGCCTCCTTCCTCGAGAGCGTGGAATCTAATTACAGTTATATGATAGTTTTCCGCGCATGATTTGCTCACCGGAAATGAATGCTGGTGTATACGTCTATTCAAGCATGCTGAACATCGATAACATAAAGGAGGAAGGTGTCTATGTTGATGGTAAAGGAGCCCGAGCCGGTCGAAATTTCTGGAGCCCTCCTCTACGGCGTGCTCATAATGATTTCGCCTTTTTGGGACGGTAAATCCCGACGATTAGTATTTTGTAGCGATGGTGGTAGAATGTATATAGAGGGCAAAGGAGTGTTCAGGAATTGCTGGCTGGGGAATTTCGCTATAGCAGGGCTATAGCGACGACAGTTTTTGTTCAGCCAGAATAGCATTGTAGACTAAGTTAGTCGTCGAAGTTAGTTTCGAGTATTGCTAGCTCGTGGAGTTCGATACCTGAGGTAAGCGAATTACGGAATTTAACATGTATGCTGTTACAGCTTATAAAGCTCAGTTTCCAACTGCTCACACGCTGGAAGCGAGGCCCAGAAGCTACTATGAAAATTGCTGCGCAATACCGCGGCAGTATAGTGTGCTGGAATAGGTGTCTTAGAACTATAGCAGTCAAATTCATTATTTCTTTATTCTACAGGTACACTATTTTTTATACTGTGTTAGTTTTATTTGACGCGCATGACTTGGCATTTTGCCGGACGCTTATGTAGCTGTGTAATGAGGCAATCAATTGACTCTGACGCTGCACTTTGCCTTCCTTTGAAGTACGCCCCGTTCTAGCGCTGCCACTTTTTTCCCAGCTGTTGTTCTTTCTCTGTTGCCATCTCCTATCGATTCTACCGAAATAGGGTCAGTTAATTAGCGCTGGCGTTCGTCTTTTATATAAAACAAGACACTTGGTAAGAAAGTACGTAAATTAAAATGCTATATAAGGTTCTCACGAGGTGTGTGCCTTCGATGTGATGAAGTGTAGAAGGAAATAGCGAAGAGGGAGAGAGGGAAGGTGTTATTGCGACGGGATGGGCGGCTGTCGAGTGAGCGAGTGAAACAACCTTATTGAAGAAAATTTCTTAGTTCGCCTGCCTTCCTGGGTCTTGCACGTTTTGAATCTTCTTCTTGTTCTTCTATTCTCTTTCGCTGCATGAAGCTTTCACGCTATCTTTCTCGGTCGCTCGCTGTTGATTTCGTTATCCTTATTCTTGCGCCGGCGAAGATTAATTAGGCGCCGACGTGTTTTCGGTTGTGATAGCCGGATCCGCCCGCGTTTCGCTGTTCGCTTAGCTCCAGTCGTTTTTTTGTCCTTTTTTTTCTTCAAAATAATTGCGACGAAAATGAAGCACTTCGATCCAGCTTTCGCGCAATTACCTGTGCAGCTCCCTTTTCTGTTAACGGTGCCTGCGGCGAAGAAGCTCTTGGCTTGCTTATCGGATTTAATCGGTAGCGGGTGTTTAGAATACTTACTTCTCCTGATTCTCGTTTTTTTTCAAGATGTTATAGAAAAACTTTGCGCGATATTTGATGATAGCTTTTATGCTGCTATTCTTACATGTATTCGTTTTTTTTTTTCGGGTAGGGATGGGGTACTTACCGTGAAATCCACGTCGCGCCCGGAGACGTTGCCCTAGGAGCGATCGGAATCTGTCAATAGAAAAAGAGCAATTATTATTATTATTATTATTATTATTATTATTATTATTATTATTCATACCCCCACATATGCCTTAACTACGAGGGCATTATATTGGGGGAAATGTATATCAGCATAGATCTCTGAACACGCATCATGTGCGAAAAAGAGTACTACACAATAATACAAAGTGAAGCATAATGTGCTAAATAAAAATATAAACAGAAATCGTCCGAAGAAAGGTTAGACAAAAGTATCGTTGTATATTAGCCCATAAAAAAAGAGACAGAAAACATCTCCACAAAATCACTGTGGTGTCCTAAAGTTAACGAGAATGATAAGAGGAATAGTCGCAAATAAACTAGATTTCGAAACTTCATACTTCATTAAGCCGCGTTCACTTGCACACCTCGGGTACAAGGGGAAGGGGAATTACGTTCAATCTATCTTCCTATATATATATATATATATATATATATATATATATATATATGGTTTAGTTTCATGAAACTCCCAAAATTCAAAAGATTACGGCCGAAGTGGGAGGCATGTAGACTAATATCTGACGCTTAAACGCAGTGCCTTGTACCTAACAACGAAAAACTTCGAAAAAAAAAAACAGCGACCAATTATTTCGCCTATTTTTTCAATGGTCAGGAAATGACGAGGAGGAGGAGGAGGACGAAGAACAACACAATTCGGACAGGGAGCAAGAGTTTCACTTTGACGACTTCATCAAACGGTGAGTGATGACTTCGTCTTTTGTTGTCATTTCTTATCCCTATAGAACTGTCTACCTACTAGTGTCTTAGTTTAGCAACGCTTAATAATGTAGATCCTCGTAATGTTGGCAAACATAGTCAGCCTAAACATTTGCCTTTCTGGCTAATACAAAAAGTTACAGCATATCCACGGAGTGAATGATGATAAGTGGGGCGAAGCGTGTTTCTTCGTCCGTCCGTCCGTCCATCCGTCTCTGTCTGTCTGTCTGTCTGTCTGTCTGTCTGTCTGTGTGACAGGCAGGTGGACGGACGGATGGATGGACGGAAGAATACTCTGCCTCGCTCATCATCATTCACTCCGTGGATATGCTGTGAATCCTCTTTAATCGTTAACTATACAAAAACCACTAACGCCATCTAGTTAGGAATTTTTAAAGCTAACTTGAAGTGGCTTCTACTGCAACATACTACTGCTACGAGGGAACCACCCACACCCTAAGGAGCTTCGCCCCTACAACTGCCTGTTTAATGACAGGCAAGGCGGCGGGCAACCACGGTCTAAGTGTATTGTATGTCTGACACCTTCTAACGCTAATCCTCGAAAAGGAACATAAAGTTTCGGACGGCAGTTTTCATTGGCGAAGACGTGAAGCAGTGTATGCGTATTTTGTGTGCATGGCTATCGTACCACGTTTAAACTCTTCGAAGGTCTCAACCATGTACCCTTATAGGACAGAAATGATCATGTTAGAATGAAATTCGCCTTTCAAACTGCTGTTTTTACTATCACTGTCTCCAGAGACCGAACTTGTGCGGCCACTGTTGATCATTCTGAGTCTTCACTTTGCTAAGTTTTGTTTGAAGTGTACAGGAAGCCCGCGCTCTTAGTCGACGTAAACCAACGAACAGAATTTTGCTTGGTCCCCAGGTTCACGTTTGTGTCAGCACGAAAGGGCCTGAACCAGTAACGTGATAGACTTAAGAAATAGGGATGAGTAAAAACAGAAAAGTTGGTTACCAGCAGCACATAGACAAGTTCATCTCAGTTGAACAGCACAAACGAGACGACGACGAAGAAACAGAAACGCAGACAGGTGCTGTCTGGGCTTCTTTTTTTTTCTTCGTCGTAGTCTCGTTTGCGCTGTTCAACAAAGATGAACGCATACCAACTCGCTCATGCTTTCACTCTTATACATATACGGGTACTAGTGTATCCGACCTCTTTGTTTCGTAAGGTGGACGAAAAATAAGAAAAGAGAACCTGGTTACCAGAACCAATCAGGTAAGTACTGGTGTGTCCAACTCCTTTTGTTGGTGAGGCAGGATTCAATCTATTCGAGGCCTCTGCTGCACAGTCTCTGTATATGGTGGTACCTGTTTACCGCTGGCCAGCGGGTGTAGTACAAGCTTCGTTATCCTCGCGAACTGCACTTTTGTTTTCCTCCTCCTCTGCCACCTCCCCCCTTCCCCCAACTCTATAGCCGGAAGCGGCAGCAGCGTTGCGCAATAGTAGCTTTCTGGCGACCCACAGAGCTCGCAACCTTGCCTCACGACATCGACTGTAAGGCCGCATTGTCGTGTTCGTCGGGGCATCCGGGGACTCCGTCGTGTACGAAGCCCCCGGGAAACGAAGAATCGAAGCGGATTGGTGGCGGGAAGATGGAACGAGGCATTATTGGACTCTCGTTCTCTTTGCCTCTCAACACATACGTCTGTCGGTCGAGAAGGCATGAGAAAGCTGACTTCTTCCGGTGGTGGAAGAAAGGGCTTGCCTGAGGTTATATATTCATTCCGGCCTCTTTTGCCGCAATTTAGGTATCCAATGAAACGGCGCACGCGAGCCCGAAATATTGAGGAGATGGCGAGTTAAGAACCGTTGCATGAGGAGGAGGGGCGTACATTGTAGTGCGTGGTGTCGTTAACATTCTTCGCTGCTGTGCGCACGCGCGCATCTGAAAAGTGCATTGAAAGCTTAGATAACTAAACACAAGTAAAAAAAAAGAGAGAGAGAGAAATAAAAACAATGAGAGGTGAAGACAATCGGAGAGAAATCTTCCTTTTGCTGATCGCCATTTCGCGTCTTCCGTTCCTTGATCTTTCACTCTTTCACTTATCTTTCTGCTGGCATCGCACGCAATGCGGTGCGGATCGAAGGACAGGGAGTCACGGACCCAAGGGAAAACAAGTGTGGAAAGAGAATACGCGCATAAAAGCAAACTGGAGTTTGCAGAAACGCTGCCTGCCGTCTGACAGGACAGTGTCAACAAAGGGTTGCCTGGTCGCAAGAAGAGTTGCGTGGTCGCAAGAAAGAGAGCGAGGAAACAAAGGGAATCTACAAGGAAACGAATCGTGCTGACAGAAAGGAAGAACGCTCTTTTTTGCCAGTGCCTCCTGTCTGGAAGAGCAGAACGCTGATCAGGGACCACGGTGTTGCATACGAAATACACTCTCTCGCTCTTTGTCTTCAGGCCCTGCTCCAAGCGCGTTAACGGTATATACGCGTCACGGCAAGGAAGAATATACACGTCACGGCAAGGAAGAGGCGAACGACATATGTAAAACGTAATAGTAAGAGGAATAACTGGGCACTTATTGGATACATTTCGGCCGCCGTGCCGCTCTTGCGGGACTCGTACAAGTCACCCCAGAAATGTTTCTTATATGAGTCCCTCTTGGCCCGGCTGGCTGGGATGTCTGGGCGGGCAGAAGGTGCAGCCCCTCCCTTACGCAGTCACAACTTGGTCTCGTCGGAATGCGGTCGAGCGCGAATTGTTTGCCCTCAATTTATTTTTTAGTGATCGCGTGACTGTGTGTATGCACTTGCTTGCTTGCCTGTCTATGTGCGTGCGTCTGGTTCTCGTTCCTTCTGGCGTCCGCTAGAATGCGTGCCGGAATTTACTGTATATATGCTATATATATATCTATCTATCTATCTATATATATATATATATATATATATATATATATATATATATATATATATATATATATATATATATATATATAGCAGCGAAACTTTTGGTTTTTATTGTTTTCTTGTGAGAAAACTTTGCCACAGTGTTGAACTGCAGATATAACTTCATGTCGTGACGGTTATTATATTTCCAGCGGGGCGTGGAACAGCGGTCGCACTGCAGACGAGAGCGTCAATGTTTCTTCGCATTGTTGTTGCGCGCGCGCTCCTCTTTTAATGTGTGTGTGTGTGGGGGGGGGGGGGGTGCGTGTGCCTCGTTTTATACGTTATTGAAAATCGAGAGTGCAGGAGAATGAAAGCACAAAAAATCGTGTTACGAAGGAGAGAAGCTATCTCTAAAGATGATTTTGTACTGAATTTATTTTCAGCGTTTTGCCTCGGATAACAGTGGTCAGCTGTTGCCGAAGTGTCAGGACCCTTCTTTGTGCATTGTTTCATTTCCGATCGGACAGCTAAGTTGGGGCAGATTTTGCTCCTTTCCGGTCGTCCCATGGTCGTGTAGTCTACGCGCAGGCGGCTGATTCGGGGCACCTTGACGCTAGCCGCTCAACCGAGAGGAGAATGCCGTCGTCATCAAACTGAGAGGAGGCACGATCGTTACCAGCGTGCAGACAGAAGAGGTCTTCTGAACAAGGCGACTGCAATCGGCGGGGATTAGAACTTCGCATCGTTTTCGTTTCGTCGCAATTCTGTGCTTTCTGTATGAGTTGGCTGCTGGCAACGTTTCTTATGGGTGGGCACGTTGGAAACGCCGTGCGCCTATTAGCGATTCATGGTCCTTGCAGCGGAGCTCCGTCTCCACTACTGTTGGCGTAGCTTGCGTAACGATGCGCTTATGGCTTAGTAGAGGCGTACGTCGGGAAACGGCTGATCACGCAGGCACCCCTCTCCTCCCTGCAGCCCTCATCACCCTCAAGCGTGAAGACTGACGGACGCTCGTCGCGGGATCCTCGCGGTTGCTGGTGCCATCAATAATGGACGCGTCCGGTCGCCTCCATAGCGCGTCGACGCTGGCGACTTCGTTGCCTACTGACGAATTCATAGTCGTCTCGCGCGCTCCGGCGAAAAGGAAGGGAACATAGGGAGACACTTTGGGCGGCGTCGCCATTAAGCGAACAACCACTTAGTTCGTGCGGGTATGAATGTTTTCGCTCGCCCTATCGCAGCTGTGGCTCACTCTTTTACGGAACTTGGAGGCGGCCGTAAACGAGAAAAAGAAGACGATGGCAAAGCATCGCGGCGAACGCGAGTAAATTAACGCGCGCTCGTAAAATGAGGCCGCGCGTTAGGGGACATGCGTTTGGTGACACGCAGCATACGATGCCATTAGGTGAATGGCCACTTAAGAGAGCCACGCGCATGAATATAGCTCGCGTGGCGCGTGTTGGAAGGCGTCATTTTCGCATGCGAAAGTGCCGGTGGAGAGCGCAAACATATATACTTCTCCGAGCCAGGAATAGTGTGCAATCTCTCTCGCGATAAGCTCAAGTGTATTTATTTTTTGAGAGCCACGTGCGATGCGAGTTTTATAACTTCCAGTTCACTCGCTTCTTTTTCTTCTTCTTCTTTCGTGCTCGTTCTGATGAGGTCGTGTAAACAACGTAAGGTCAACAGTTGCTCTTTGTTAACGAAACTGCACTCGGCTTTCATAGTAGTGGCGTTGGAACAGTGGTGGTTGCTTTGAGGGGATCCTGTAATGATAAGTTTTTCAATGCATTGCGTGTTTTGTTGCCTTTTGTTTTTCTAGTTTTTTTATTAGCGGTGCTTTCAATCGCGCTTTACCGCATATAGAGACAAGCCGTACAGTGTTGATGATGAGAAGGCTATGCTCCTGGCGTGGGTGGTCTGTTCGGAACGTTGGCGCTGCTACCGCGAAGAGGCCATCAAAAGGACATTTCGCTGCACTAATGGCAGTCATCGTGGTTGGCAGGCTGGGCTACTGTTCCATCTTTATTGTTCTTTTCTTGGTCTCTTTAATCTAGGGCAGCGTGTGGCTCAAATAAATGAACGAAAGATAGTGAAATGATGAGAATGTATTACTTGAAG